GATGTATGCTCTTGGCTTGGAATGCCTGCTTCTATCACTGACAATCTGTGAGGCTTTGGGCAAGTTATCCAATATCTATCAATATCCAAAACGCTCCTCGTTTTCTCATCTGAGAAATGGGGATGACAATAGTATCTACATCATACACTTGTGAGGATTAAATGAGGTAATGTGCATATAGTGTTTGGTACATAAGGCTGGGGCCAGGGCCTCAATAAATATTTACTCTTATTATTAATATTATTGGAAGAAGATAGCTCTAACTGCTCAGTGGATGATGCATTTGAAACCAGAGACCAGACAAGAGGTGAGGCCTTGAATAGGGTGAGACTATCAAAACGGAAGGGAAGCACAGTCAGAGATGCTGAATAGTAATTCATTCACTCCAACAATTCTCTCCTTCGACTGCTCTGGGCACTTGGGATGCAGAATGAACAGAACAGACATTTTGATGAGAGGCAGACAAAACAAACCGAGTAAATGAGATAGACGTTAAGTGCTATGGAGAAAAAAAATGAAGGTAAGGAAGCTAGGAAGTATGATAATTGGGGTGTGATGATGATACTGCACCACAGCGGGAGGAAGTGAGGGAGGATATCTGGGGAAAAGCCCTCCAGACATAGGAAGCAACAAGTACAGTCATGCACTGCATAACAACATCTTGGTCAACAACAGACTGCATATACGACGGTCGCATAAGATTAGTACCAGATAGCCTAAGTGTGTAGTAGGCTACACCACCTAGGTTTGTGAAGTATACCTATGATGTTCAATGACAAAATTGCCTAGTGATGCATTCTCAGAATGCATCCCCATTTTTAAGCAATGCATGACTGTAGAACTGTGAGGTGGAAGCAAGCTTGGTTTGTTAGACAAACACCAAGGAGGCCTGCGCAGCTGAGGCTAGTGAGCCAGGGCAGAGGGGTAGACAATGCTGATGGAGAGGTAGTGGGCTGATTGTGTAGGGCCTCATAGGCCATCATAAGCTGGTGATGGGCTGATGGGAAATTGGGCACAGGCACACAAGGAAGCAAAACATTTTGTCTGGGGTTCAAGAAGTATCTGAAACACGAATTCCTTGAGGAACACAAACCCTACCCCCCTTCCCTTTGTAACTTTCTGCTGCACCCAAGACCAAACCAGGCACCCAGGAAGTAGTTATCCCCAGGTGGACACAGAGGTTGGCTCTGACTCATGGTCAACTCTAGGTCTCCACTTGGAGGAAGTCTTCTCCCCTTTCGGTGACAGACCCAGACAATCATCAGCTATCTTTAACCACATTCAGGAACTAGAAAACAAGAGGGGCTGGAAGGTTTCCCTCCTCACTCCAACCATTTTCAAATGGGTGAAAAATCTTAACCATGCCTAGAAAAACGTTAGAACTCAAGAATGTCCCGGAGGCTACAAGGGGCTCTTCTAACTCAACACAGATATAACTGTTTCACCAACATAGAGGGAGATTTTTGAGAAGTTGGTGTTTTCTTGCTTTCTATCCTTTGGAGTGTGAGCTTCAAAGAGGCAAGCAGTGGGAGCCCTTCTTTGCTAGACTGTGAGGAGGAAGGGGTATGAGAGAGGGGCAAGGAGACAAGGGATGCTGTTAGCAGGGTGGGTTGGAAGTCCTGACTGGTGTGTTTGGCTCAGCAGGGCTCTCTGGGCAGCTCCACAGACAGGTCTGGTTTTAAAAAGTGCCAGGGAGCCACGGATTTGCATGTTATTTGAGTTCCAGGCTTCAATTCCAGGTATGTGGAATGAAATAAATGAATGAACAGTATTCAGACTCCTGGTTAAGGGGTGAACTCAGGAATCCAGACCACACTGAGAATCCAATCACTGGTCCAGCTTGGATCAGGAGACATAGACACAGACAGAGACAGAACAAACAGTCAAAGAGACAGAGAGACAGTCTTAGAGAGACAAACACCATCAAGTCCTTTTTACCAGGGAGTTTCCAGTCAAAGCAAGAAAGCAAAATCCACAGAATTTTAAATAAATCAACTTAAAAAGTAGAGTCACAGACAGAAAAAGGCAACATCATCCCTGACTTATCGCTACCTCTTCCTCTCCATCATCCACATCAAGCTTCAAACTGGACCACGTGCCCATGAGCTGGCTTTTTTGATAAGGTCCATTGCTTGGTGTCTGCCTGGCCTCCCAAGTTAGACTCTAAGGTCCTGGTGAACAGGTGGCTTTTATTTCCTTGGTCAAACCATCTCCTCACACCGCCTTTCATGGCCCCCAAGCCCAGGGCTTAAACACACGCTTATTAAACATCTAGTGTAAGGGGTTCCCCAGAAGTATCAGATGAGACAAATGGCCTCCAGGAACTTAGCTCTGGCTAGTATACAAGATGCAGGCAGCATGTAAAACAGTCCATCTAAAGGATAAGGCAAGCAGAAAGGGACCCATGGTCTCAATCTATAAGGATGTAAAAAGGATGGAGAGAACTGTATTTAACAGAAAGATGTGTGGTTGGAAAAAAAAATACTTTGATTAGCTCCCTGGGATAGACTGAGACCCCTGAGGGGCATGCTGAACTGCTGAGGAAGGTGTTCTCGTTAAGGGCAGAGTGGGGCATGAGGTTTGGACCAGAGATGAAAGTTTGGGACCTCAAAGGAGGTGCAGCCTCACTAGTCATGAGTAGCTCTTCTTCCTCCAACTCCCACATGCTGTCTTTCTAAACTTTTATAGAGTTACCCCTTCTCTGCTGTGGCAGGCTGGAGAGAAGTAGCTTGCACTCCTGGTTTGAAAAAAAAGCACCAAATCATTCACCTGCCCTTAGTGGAAACATGTCTCAGTCCATTGCTGATGTAAAAGACAGAATACAGTATAAATAGCGTGTAGAGTTGTATTATTTTCCGATTACAAGGGCTGCAGACATCCAGATAAGACATGTTCAGTGATCAGGGAAGGCTTCAGGGAGAGGGGTTTAGTGCGTGTGCTCTGTACATATTTCTGAAAGGAATAAAAGAGAAAATTGAATGAGGGGTGGCCAGCAGACTGAAGACTCTAGGCTCCTGTGCGCCTCTCTCCCACACACTTTCCCTTCCCAGCAATTGTGTTCTGCGAAGGGTAGAACGACAATCTCCAGAAGTCAAGCAGTTGATGGCTACTCCTCACCTTAAAACGAAGAAAAGTCTATAGCTACCATCTGTCCATTAGGATAAGACTTTGACCTGGGCCTTAGCTCTAAAAAGTTAACACTGGCCTTAAACTTTAATTTTGAATCTCCACCTTGACTGATTCCTATTCCAAACAGCATTATGACCCTAAATAACATTTCAGAATCTTAGACTTTAACAAGACCCTGGACATCTGGTCCAACCACTCACAACTGGAATTATCCCTGGCCTGGCCCTGACAGGCTGGAGAGGCAGCCTGCACTAATATTTCCTCGAGGCTTACCTTCTAGTTCAGTCTCCCACTTTCCCTTTTCCCTTCCACAGGGGATGCACGTGTAAGTTCTCCCTTATCTTGGTGGGTGACCAGCCTGACCCGACATACCCTTTTGTCCTTCCCCACCTCCAGATTTGGATATGGTAGTGATGGGGTCTTAACAGACAGACGTTGGGTTCAGCACATGTGAAATAAGGCTTGCAGTATAAGGAAGGATGCCAGGCCAAGCCTTACTTGTTCCTTCCAAAACTTTAGGATGAATTTGAAGCTGTGGATAGATTGCTCCCGGACAGAGAAATATGGCAACTTTCCCAGCTCAGCAGGTAGCCTGTTTGAGTAAACAACAGGGCCTGATAGCCTTATGCCTCCTTTTCTGACTCTCTTGGGTATGTGAACTCCTAGGGTGCAAGCATCATTCCACCTCACCTCGGCCCATCCAGGCGAAGCAAGGGAGAAGACGAAGCCCAGTGTCAGTCGTCTGTCTTACTCTGGCAAGACATGTTTGAGAGCTGGAGGGGTGGCACAGAAGGACCAGAGGCTGAAACATTAAAAACATTGGGGCTTTTATAGGAACCTCTCCCTCTCCACCCACTAGAGATTTTTATGGGCCATGTAAAACCAGGAGGTGAGGGACAGACTATGGGATGGGGCTGCTGGCAGTGCTTTTCCAGTTTACCTGTTTCTACCCCAGGTCACAAAAACTTGGGGCTAACTTTGCTAGGGGCAGTAGGTAGAAGATGCGAGTACAATTATAGGGGCTAAAGAAGAGAGAAGTTGATACCACAGAGAAGTATGAAGCTCCTCATATAGAGAGAAGTCAACGTACACAAAGTCTCCAGGCCAGCAGAGGGAAAAGTACTCTTACATTCAACCCTAAACAGGACTTCTGGGGGCAACAGGGGGTCTCTCCTTCAACTCCCTGCTTCTCTGAATCTCCTGAAAAAGCCACACTCCCCACTGCTGCAGGGTATTCTCAGAGGGAGAGGACTGTCAGGAGCAACAGTGGGTCTCAGGTGACAAATGGGACGGAACTAGCCTCCGTGCCTTGGATCATGTATTCTCAAATAGGCAGGAACGGTCTATCTGACTTTCTCTGTACAGGGTCCAGAAGTGATTGCTGGGACTGTGGTTTCTGTTGAAGGCTCTGTATTTGGCATCTAGAGCTTATCATCCCTCCAGTGTTCCTTTTTTGGGGGAGGTAGGTGATTATGAGCACTGAGCACAGGGGAGAGGGGAGGAGAGGAGAAAAGGAAAGTGATTGACTTTAGTTTATAGCAGATTAAACAAGATACTGGTAACATGCCCTTGGCCTTGGAATGTAGGAACATCTTTCTTCTTCCCCCATCATCAAAGCCCACCCTTAAATGAAGGAGAAAGGAATTCTCCAGATGCTAGGCCTCCTCTTGTTGGCTAGCCAGCCCTCTGGAACGGATGGCCCAATATATAAGTCTATATTTGCTTCCCACTGAGCCACTCTGGGCCACAACCTATGTCTCAGCTTGGCCCACCCATGCATGGTGGTCTCAGGATCACTAACTCCACCTTGTACAAAACTGCATTGGTCAGAAAGGGCGGTCAAGTTCAGACAGGCTCCACAATTCCTTATGTATTTTTCAAAGTGCTTTTGTTGCATGTTTCATTTTCTGCTATACATGGCAATAAATATTTGTTCCTTTGGTCTGTACAAAAAGTCTGTGAGGAAGGTAAGACAGATGTTATCTAAATGGACAAACAATAAACACAGAGAACTATCTTGTTCTGAGTCCCCCAGACAATAGCAAGAGAGCCTGAGAAACTCAGGTCTTTCAATTCATAGTCCCAATCTATACCATACTGCCACCTTTCAAGTTGTCACTTAAATACATTAAGTACCAAGAATCAATATTCAGGAGTCCTACAATGGACCTGCATGCCATAGCTTTCTAAAGAGAATGTGAAAGGTCCCACCAACTCATATATAGAAAGCTATTTATTTCCTATAGAAAACACCAAAAGAAAAAAAAAAAAGAAAGAAAGAAAGAAAAGAAAACAAACAAACAAAAGGTGGTCTTCCCCGAGAAGGCAGGCAGTTATGAAAAGGTAGGACCCTCTAGTTGCTGGAGTGGAGACAGTAACATTCAGTTAACAATGGAATATTTAAAAAAAATAGTTTTCTTTTCAAATTGTAACCTGTGGTAAAACATAGAAAAATGTACTAAACAAGCTTGGTATAAAACAGAGTAAAATTTTCAAATAAGCCCAGGGAGAAAGCACAATGCTGGAAAGGATGGGGTACATGGGAAGAGGAGAAAAGATTTCATACAAAACTACCTATTACAATACAGAAAAAAGTATAAAACGTTCCTATTTTGGAACTTAAGTACAAAATGACACTGGCATTGGATCATTTCACTATTTAGCCTGAGGACCACTCAGAGGGTGGGGGAGATGCTAGAAAGAACAAAAGGAATAGGAGTTTTAAAATCTCAAGTTGCTCAGTCCAAATTCCACCTGTTTTCCAGTTGAAAATCTCATCTCCCTCTGTAACCTCTTCCCCCTAAGCCAAAGATCATCCAGGCCTTGAAATATTCTGTTAGGAAGTCCACAAACACCCTACACAGAGGGGTTGGGATCTGTGCGTGCTAGAGCTAAATTTGGAAAATGGAAATAAATCTGCAGGCTAAAATGGTGAACACATTCAGCCTTTTAAAAAGAAAGCATATCCCTGTGAAATATATATATATATATATATATATATTAAATTCTCTGTGGTTAGAAGCATATTTAAACTAATCAGCCACAGACCAAACTAGACCTGCATTCATACAATGCTGGAATTTTCTGCTAAAGACTGAGGTCCTTCTTCATCTTGGTCAGAAGTAGGCGGCAGTCAAAGTGGTGCTTGTTGCTCCACTAAACCGCTCCCTGGGTGGGTCTTCCCCATATTATGTCTTGTAAGCACATGCAAACTCCTGCTTTTAAGGAAAGGACTGCCTGGGACCTTGGGGTCCACCCATAGCTCGTGTGTTGTGCCTCAAGATGGGAGGAAGCTACAAGATGATAAAACAGCCTTGTACAGAACAGACAGATTTCACAAAGGGGCATATAAATAGGAAAAGTCCTGAAAGAGGGACTTATGCATGTGCCCCAAAGTCCAGTTTACAGTCACATTCCTGACAACATGTCTTGGAAATCCTGTGTGCATGTATGTGTGTGCGTGTATATGCTGGTGGTTGTCATCCCTAACTTTTTGCCCATGCCCTTTCCTACCTCTTAGTAAGGCCTAACAACAAGAGTTGATATGAAACGAAGAGTCTTTCCAAGCTTCTCTCAGTCCCCTAAGGACTGAGTGAGGCTGGAGCCCTTTGAAAACAAGATGGCAGAACTGAAGAAGTGAAAAGCAGTCTTTCTCTTCAGCTTAGGGATGTCCCCTCACCCCTTTCACAGCACCAAAGTTTCTTTGCAAAAATAGTATCTGAGATACAAAAGGAAAGGCAGATGTGCTTGTGAATGCATCTCGCCAGGGCCTGGTCCAGGATCAAGGGCTTTACAAGAACAGAGGATTGGGAGCAGCTGTTTCCAAGGTCTCTGGCTGTAGACAACAAAGAGCTGGTCCCCACAAGGTCAATGTCTGCTAATGGAGACAGTCTTCACAAGAGCTTTCGGTGGAGGATCTCCCAGACCATCCGCTTCCGGAAGTACGGCATGTGTTGCTGCAGGGACACAGAGATAACCTTAATTTTCATTTCTTTTATCCAGACCCAATACTCTCTTCCTTCTCGAAGTTTTCAACTAAAATAGTCTCAGTTGCATTTCTGGTTTTTCAAAGTGCTCATTCTTGATTACATGTGCTTTTTTTCTTTCTACTGCTTTTTCTATTGCTATCTTTACTGCTATTTTCCATTATTGTAGCCTTAGAAGTTTTACTGGGTATTGCCAGGAGTCCCCCAATGTTTCTAAGAATTTTAGAATGGTGTCCATCAAGTCCTCTTTTTGAACTTTGAAGAGGATATGACATGTGAGGCCTGAAAATCAAAGGCTCACTTTTTAGAGGAAGAGTTATGGGAACTACAAGCTCCACCCAATGGCTATGGAGGAAAACTTTGGAAAAGTTATTAATTTAGACAGAAGTCAAGAGTTAAGTAGAGGACATAGAATAAACCATAATCTCTAGGCTCAACCCACTTTGGTCTCTGAAGGACCACACGGAGAGAACAAACTAAGAGAAGACGGATCAGCTGCATCAAGTGAGGGGCAGGGGAGGGGGGCAGCATAACAAATTGCACCAGGAGATCAAAGTGTGGCCTGTTCCAAAACCTGACTGCTAACCAAATAAAGGGAAACTGAAGAAAACTTGCTCTGATTCCAGGTCTCTGTTTCTTATACGATTTGAGGTAGGAGGGGAAGATGGGTAGAGAATGTTCTACTACTGATCAGGATTCCTTGACTACACTATGTGATATATGGTAACCTAGGATGTGGCCTAGAACGATCATTTTTTTTGTGACGTGACATGGGCAGGAAGCACCAGTGTTAGGAGCCATAGGCTGACGTGGAGGCCCCGAAGCAGAGCAAGTGGAGAGAAAAACATCTACCAGGCAGCCGGGAGCCCAGGTGGTCACAGAGCTCGCTCCTGAAGGCTCAGCTCACCTGTGTGAAGTTGATTGGTCTGTCTTTGGTAATACAGTCAGCATATTTGCAGGCAAACATGCCACAGTCACTTCCATTCATCTGCTGTGGAATTTCCTGAAAGACCAAAGACAACAAAAAGGTGACATCTTTCCAAGCTTTCTTTCTTTTTATTAGATTATAAATAAGAACCAAAGGATATAAATTTTACAGGATTCCCTGAATCTTAAAGAGATGACCCTGGTACCCCACTCAGAACAGAGGTTCACAGAAAAAAATATAGCATCTCAGTTGGCCTGTGGACTTCGTATAAACCACACAGGAGACTATCGTAGACTTCCATGGCACCTAAGGATGTAAAAACTGGTCCCTCTCACAAGAGCTAAACAATCAGCAAACATTTCCTACAGGAGTGAAAAGCTTAGCAAAATAGCTGGGTATTTAGAAAACCTAGTTCTACATAAGAAACACATTACCAGTTTTCCCACAGAGAGCTTACTCCACCTTCCCCAAGGAAGCAAACGACCAAGCTGAAGTCAGGCTGGACACTAAAGAAGGTCCCTGGGAATCAAGCAGTGAAATTCTTTCCTTCCCAAATGTCCTCATATCAGGATTTCCATCTCATCAAGATGAAATGTACCTGGCTTTTCTTGCTGAAGAGCTGCCAGCCATTGGTGTCAAACTCTTTCCTTTTCTTGTCAAGGCTTTCTTGCTTTAGGTATTGCCTAAAGGTATTGGGAGAGAATGCGATGAACTGTGGGGAACACTGATGACAGCTGCCACCATAAGAACACGGCTGATAGTCCTTAGGAAGAGTTTTCACCTGCACTTCTGAGGGAAACAGTATACAATGCTGGGCCGGGACTCTCTGGACTGCAGCCACTACAACTCACGCCCCACTGTCAACTCACAAGAAACATGACCTCTGCCTCTGATACCCAAGACCCTTCTACTTATGGTTCCTCCTGAGGAACGAGTTTTGATTCCTTTCCTTGGTTTATATGTGGTACTTTCAAACTCAGTCTAATGGAAGAAGAATGTTTCTCCAGCAATATTGAAGTGTTTACTATTTTTAGTCTTGATTCATTCTCCTGTGTGAAAATTCAATCCAAACCAACAATTTGTTGAATGTATACCTCAAATAGAGCACTCTTCTTAAGCGCAAACTGCTCACCATTCTGGAACCTGCCTCCTCCTGCCACCAGAGTGGTACAGTGAGGAATAGGCGTTTTGGAAAGAGAAACAGATAGGGTATAAAGAGATCTGCATTCTGGTTCCCAGTTGAGCCACTAATTAGAAGGACCTGAGCAAATTAAAGTCACTTCTGTGGGTCTTGGTTTCTTCATCTGAAAAAATTAGGACGTTGGATTAGAAGATTTCTAAGCAGTTTCTATATCTGAATGTATATATCCACTCTATGTTTTAGTGCACTGGGACAGTAACTGTCCCCAGTAGGGCATATTTTTGTATTATTATTAAACTTTACTTACTTAGATGTAAAATATCCATTCTTACTTAATATGAAGATTTCCTTTATTAATCACTCCACTGAAGATATCAAAGAACTGAGTTCAATAGCTGGAAAAACACAATATATACCCAGTACCAAACTCTTCTGTCATCAACTCCCTACTTACAAGAGGATCCTGCAGGCTTCATTGTTTATCCCACCCATAGAGTCGTAATAGGTGATATTCTTCTTTCTAAAGTCCACAACCTGGAAATAAAAAATCTGTGTTTATAAAGTGAAGAAAACTGGATTCTCAGCTTTTCCCTTCCCTGGAACTTGGAGGCTTTTGCTAGATTTCCTGTGAAATCATGACAAGTCTGATTGATACTCTGCGTTACACCATGCATAATCTGCAGTGGAAAGAAGAACGGGGGGATTATTGACATAGAACTATGATGGGGGCCGATTGACTGGTGGCCCCATTAATTGCCCTGAAACCTTTTTCAAGTAATCAGGTTCTCCATCTGCAACGTGGGCAGCAGGGAAGACACAACGTACTCTTCAGAGAACGTAAGCTGAGTTAGATCATTTCCACACAGCTTCAGAATGGTGGTAAAAGATTCTGGGTTTTGTTTCTTTACCTGGAGAATTTCCTTCTGGCTTCATGCTTTTCAAATATAATTAAAAATAGACTGAAATAACTTTTACACTTTTATTAATACATTCAGTTAACGTATCCATGTTTTCAGCGTCAAAAAAATATTAAATTACCAAGTATGCAAGGCAAGTCATGATTAGGCAGAAAATAATAGTCACAGAATCTGAGTTGGCATCATCAAGAAGTCACCTTTTCCCTCCATGCACTGCCATGAGGCTGCTTAAACTTATAACTCTCTCTTAAATATTTCCAGGAAAGGAAATTCCACTACTTTCTTCAAAGTCTAAGTATCTCACTCTTAACAGGAAGTTCATTGATCTACCCAATTTTTAGCCAACTAAACATTACTCTTTCTCTTAATCATCCAGTGAAAAAATGTAGAACTACTCACTACTCTCTGTGTATTCTATAATTATATAGATTTCTTTTCAATTTTATCAAAAATAAAAGAGGTACTCACAGCAAGACACCAGTGCACTCCCAGGTGAATGGGCACCAAAAGAATGTCAACAGAAAATATATCAACTTTCTTTGTCCAACGTTTCACTGCCTGATAACCAGCCGTTTTTAACTTAGTGAAAAAAAAGGTATTAAATGCATGCACACTTGGCAATCCCTTCTCTTTACTTCGCTCCATCAGCATATTCATGTAGAAATTGATGATCTGTGGGAAGAAATTATATGTATTAAAACAGCTACTAAGGCCTTCAAAAGAGTTGTGTTGTATGAAGGAAAAGCAAGTGCTATATTGCACAGTATATGTTGTTTCCTAATCAATTCAATTAAGATTTCAATGCCCAACAGTTTCATGTTCCTATAGCAAATTCTGATTAGAAAGGAAGAAGGCTGAGGTGGATATAAACAGTGAAAACAGAAAAAGCTGACTATGTATATATATCATATATGGGTTGGGGATACATATGGGCAGATGCTGGCCAGACTTGTAGAAGACTGAGGATTAACTCAAAAAACTGGAGAATGAAGAGAAGGGGTACTAGAAGGTGAGACTTAGAGAAAAGAAAAGGAAGAAAGAAAGCAGTTTAATAAGGCATATTTGCAGTTACTTGAGCTATTGGGACTGTATGAGCAATTTAAATAAATCCTGAGCCTGTCAGTTAAGAGTCTAGTGTTAATAATGCTAAGATCAACAATTCAATCCATTTAAGTAGGTCACTTGGTTTTGCACAAAGATAGAAAACTGCTCCATGGCTGAAGACTGCCTTTTCAGCCTAATAACCATCTTGTAGAGGCAAACTGTTTTGGTCTCAAGGAGAACTGAGTGAAAGGATAAACCATCAATTGCACTGGGAAATACCCTAAACTGACAGCAGCTCAGCAATGTCATCTTTATAGAGGCAGACATGGATGTAGTATAAAAACCTACATTACCACAACTAGAAGGACCCACAACTAAGAATACACAACTATGTACTGGGGGGCTTTGGGGAGAAAAAGGAAAAAAATAAAATCTTTAAAAAAAAACAACCTACATTACACGAGACCTGGAAGTAAAGTCACAACCATGAAGAGTGAAGTTCTCCCCTAGAACCTATATGGTTAGCTTTCCCATTTTTGTTGACTCCATTTATGCCTTCAGTATCAAGTACAAGTGAAAGAAACTAAAATGCTGGATATGGGAGTGATGTGATTCTTCCTGTTAATGAAACAACACATTCTCTAATAGTGACTACGTCCTCTATGGTTCCTTTAGGTCCAAGACTCCTTGGTACTAAAGCTTGAAAGTTACTGTGCCGGAAGTTACCGCATACTTACTTTACGTGGCCAGCTGAGGCCAGGCCAATGTCTGTCAACTGCAAGGAATGAATGGGCTAACAGATCCACAGCTTGGAAATATGACTAAGAAAACAGGCACATTTTTCAGAATGCTTTTTGGGGAATGGGAAAACGCCCCCGTCCTTTGACAAATATTTACACACTAGGATGCCAGAGCAGTGAGCTACTGCCCAACAGTAGGCAACTACATATTGGGTAGGCAGCAGGAAACTCTGCCAAGAACACACCGGAGCATGGTCTAGACTAGAGAAAGGGCCTATAGACGAGGATGCCTAGGCAGCTGCAGGGAAACCACACTGGCCATGAGGCAGAGCTCTGGGAGGGTACGGGTGAGGAAGGCTAGGATTGAAGAAAGACACAGTTCTGCCTGTACCTCTAAAGACTCAGCAACAGGCCCAGCAGGCCCAGAGGACTCAGGTTGTGGCCCACTCTCTGCTTAGTGTGATGCCCAATAGATAACTAGAGATTAGTTATTTTAAATAATGATAATGAATCAGACACAATTAGGATCATTGCTTTCTCAAATCTTGAATTTCAATCTAACCCTGTCCTCGAGGATAAAGGTGCTAAAAGATGCTTCTAGGTTTCTGAAGGCAGCAGCCAGAAATGCAGGAGGATCTGCCCAGCAAGCACAGATTTCTAGGCTATAAACTGTATTCTCTAATGAGAGAGAATCAGCAAGAAGTGATAGATTCCTCTGGTATTCTACCCATCCCACAATGTTAGCCCTATCACAAGGCTACACTCTTCAATCCAAGGCGTGAAGTGAATAGGCAGATGACCTGCCAGTCACTGTAAGCCAAACCTTCCATGGGGCAAATTATATATTATAAGAGGCAGTAAGGACTCAAGGGGGAGGTGAAAGGAATCAGGAGGAGAAATAAGGAGAGCTAAGCACATGAAAGCCATGGAGATCGATCTCCCCCAGGTGCCCATCAGAGGACTATCACCTTTAGGATCATTACCCTGAGTGTCACGCTACACACATCTATCCTATTTTTCAGGAGGAAAGAGTACCAGAATCCAGTGAAGTTTAGTGGGACTTACACGGTCTGAGTTTGTTTTCTTTTTTTATTTTATTCTTATTTTGTTGAGAGTAGACTATAAAGCTAAAGAAACCCAGCTGAACAGGAACAGAGAGCTAGCAATCAGGATACCACACTGTCTGTTTCCTTTGAGAATCCCTCTTCCACTGCTTTAGCTCTGTCTCCAACCAAAGTTTTTCCACTGAGAGGGAAAGGGACTCCTCCGAAGTCAGCTTGCTAACTAGCTCGAAGGAGTGATCTGGGTTCTTTTTCATTTCCCTGTATCCTACTAGGAGGGAGCTTGGTGGCCCCAATGTTCCCTCCCATTAGGTGAGGATGTGTAATCTGACATCTGAGGCAGAATTTAGAGACAAGTTTCTCTCCTCAATTTTTCAGCTATTACTGTGTCCAAATGAGGAAAACTGCCATAGTTTAGGCAAGACACAAACATACCAAAAAAACAAGCTAAGAGTTAGAAAACAAAAAGAATCCCACACATCACCTTATGGAGGAGGGCTGAAGATGAAGGAAAAAGAAATGAGAGAAGGGATCACAGTGCTTAAGATGAAAGAGAAGCAGTGATGGTCACAGCACTTGGCTGTATTTTGTGAAGACAAGGGTGCCTCCCCTCCCATGGTGAGAGCCTTTCTGCACACAAGACTCTCTTAGCTCCAGAAGATCTTGAATTCCCTTTGAAATAGGGGGCTAAGAGTAGTAAACCAGGCCTGTGCCTACTGTCTGCCTTGCCAATATACCAGCATTGGAGGACGACCGCCAGTGTTGGTCCACTGGTCACTCTTTTTGGGGCCCATGCTTGCCTCTGCTTGCTGTGGCTCCTGATGCCTAAGGAGCTGCCTTCTTGCTGCCTTCACAGCCTTAGCCATGAGCGCCTGCTTGTCTATGCAGTCCTGTTGGGGATGGGATGGTTGTTTATAGAGTCTTGTTCCTTTGTGATTTTATTTGAAGAGCTGCCAGGCTGAAGCTAAAAAAACTTTTCTTTAAAAGAAAAGCCTACAATGCTTTCAAACAAATGACTCAATCCTTTTCCTGTATGTTACCACAATGACATATATGACCATTGCTATTTGTATCTTCCTTTTCATCCAGTAAACCAGCCAAACTACTGTTTTCTCATGCATTTAGAAGTAAAATATTTCACTAACAGTAAAGTCTTGACTTTTAACCCTTCCCAATTTGACATTCTGAACCCTTCTAATTGGCTTAGGAAAAAAATGTTCTAAAAGTCCTGGGCATGGGGCCAGCCCAGTGGCGTGGTGGTTAAGTCCGTGCACTCTGCTTTGGTGGCTTGAGGCTCGCCGGTTTGGATCCCATGCACGGACGTACACATTGCTCACTAAGCCATGCTGTGGTGGCATTCCACATACAAAACAGAAGAAGACTGGCACAGATGCTAGCTCAGCGACAATCTTCCTCAAGCAAAAAGAGGAAGACTGGCGACAGATGCTAGCTCAGGGCCAATCTTCCTCACCAAAAAAATTTTTAAGAAGTCCTGGGCATGACAGTGCTCCTGAGCAGAAACCAAGACAACTTTTAAGGGAAAAGAAGCCATTTTTCCCTTTACCTCTTTAGATTTTCACCTTGACCTTCCCATTCTGATTTTTAAATTAAATCTCTCCTTGTTAATCACAAAGCCCCAAAGACTAACAAAGCAGCAGCACTTGAATGCTACTGAGTGAGAAGGTCATTCACTCCTAAGATCTAACCTAATAATATTATAGAAACCAAGAAGGCAGACTTCAGGTAAGCTCTGTGTACTGCATCCCTCGTGGTGAACATGGACCCAGGGTTTTTTCTCACATGCAAATTCAAGTAACAAGCTATTAGAATTACTGTAGAGAAAGACAGGCAGGCAATACCTATTTTTTTGGAGTTATGACAACTGTAATTACTACTCTCCCTGTGACCCTCCCTGCATAAATCCCTGGTTTATCAAAAGGACTAGTTCTATTAGGAAACACTTTAAAGAGGTAAACTAGAACGATGTGGAATTTACCAATGAGTCATGTTAGAAACACTAAAATTTCTATTCTGATCATTTTATTCCACATGTAAGAGTGTATGGCATATGGTAGATCCAGCATATTCACTTAACTAATTTATCTCATTTTTTCAAGTTTTATTCTTCTTATGTAATCAGTTTTTACTCCCTAAGGAAAACCTACTCCGTGTGCTAGGTTTGTCAAGTTGGACATGTTTTGTAAGCTGTTCCCTCTTTACTGAGCATCACTTAGAATGAACTGCTCCTTGGAAACAATTAGAAAACTATGAGCACAACCAATTCCCCATTTCCATTAAAGGTTTGTCTTCTGGAAGAGAATGCTAGACAAAGAGTTATGTGCTCTGATTCCAGATCCTGATTCTGCACTAAAAATCAGGTGACCTTGGTATATCCCTTATAAAGCCTTCTCACTTTGCCACTATGAATAAGAAAGAATACTTTCTCTATAAACAAGGCTACTGTGATGCTAAATAGCTGAAAGACATCCCTTTCCTTTCAGAGATGAAACTTACAACACAGGTAATCAGTCAGCCTGTTAGCTGTGTCTTCAGTGTAGTTACAGTCTGCTTTATAGGTTCTACCCTAATTCTTCCTGCACTTCTTCACTCCCCATATTTGCTATGAGTCTATTCCTTATGGCCTTTCCCTAGCCAGTAAAGTTGGAAATATACTACTCTAGCAGTCCAATGCTTTTCCATTTTGGGTACAACTGGATTTGTGAAACGCAAGCAGAAAAAAGACATGTTTGCTTGCTATTTTTCCAATTCTTCCATGTAATTAGTTGTAAGGGATGACAAGGAGGATAGGGTACTGGAGGGAAAATAA